CTGCAGTTCTTCCTATGAGACAAACAAGCACCAAAATGAAAGAATACCAACAATTAGAGAGCACACTTAAAGGAATCAAGTATTTTCACATCTCTCTCTCTCTCTGTCTGTCAAAGGCTTATTCCATCTGTAATTACTCAGCTCAGACTTCTCAGATGAGCTCTATTAAGTGTTACTGGAACATAGTACAGAATGGAATCACCATGGAGCCTGGTGGGTAAATGGAAGTTGGAGTTTGAGCAAACAAGGAGATTGTGAGTGAGATATCTGTCTCTGATATATTTCTGTCACCTGTCATCACCCACTCACTTTCCGGCAGAGTGGGCAGAGCATTGGCAGTGACCCTGTTTCCTACTAGAACAACCTGTAGGCGCAAAAATGAAAACACTTGCGGTGTTTTGGATACGGATTTAATTCAAGCAATTACAGAAAAAAATAGATAATCTAAAAAATCATATATCAAAATCATGGCTGGTTTAATAAATGTTAAAGGTGCCTCAGTGTAGTCATTTTCCCATGGAAGTGAAAATCATATGGAAATTCATTCAACCTTTATTTTAATCTCTAACAAATCTTCATTTTTGATAATGTTGAGAGTACAACAGAATAAATACGCACAAAAAATAATTAACAGGAAAGTGAACAGGCAGACCTGCGTCTCTGTGTAATCGGCCACTAGCAGAGCCACTAGGACTCTTACTAATATAAATTCAGTTGAAATAACACTTTATGGTTATTTCAACAATTGGAGGGGAAAGAAATAACCTACAAATTGTCTTCTTAAAATACTTTCTACCTTTGGCACCAACAATACCCACTGACTTTCAATAGACCATTTTCACAGCAGCCATTTTGACATGAAAAAGTAGGGAAAAAAAAGGGGTTACAAAAAATACAATCATCCCATTTCATTCTGGTCAAAGGGGGGTTTCACTGAAAAAGCTTAGACCAACTGAATATGAACCTTAATTGTGATCTTGGTAAAGGTTACCTGACATTTCATGACGATCTGTGTTTGAATTGTCATGATAATTTTAGAAAGTAGACGTGAATTAATGAGTAAACTAATAAAATCCCCTCAAAGAGAAATAGTTACACCAAATAATTTTTTAGGGAAAATGAAAAACAAAAAAAAAAAAAAAAAAGTTTTTTGTTTTTTGGGGGTTTTTTTTTTTTTTTTTGAAAAAAAAAGAGAAAACAGTTATAAATACACCTCAACCAACAGAAAACCCAGCAATGGGGAGATAATTACCATGTTTCACCCCCAAAACACAGCTGCTAACTATGTTAAAATAATAACAACGTCTAAATCTATGAGTGGTGGAGGGCTGAGAAAAGGAAGGGCAACCACACACTCAAACACCATCACACACACACACACATTACTTCTCGTCTTGTCCGCAGGGATTGTTAGCCCGCACGCACGGTGTGTGTCCGCCCAGGAGTCAACCGCCAGAGGAGCCGGCTGCAAAGCATGAGAGTGATTGCACGAGTCATATTTAGAAAAGTGTCTCACTTCTACACATGCAGGACACATGCACAACTACACATTCATCCTCGGAGGTGTATTCATACATAAACACACACACATATACGCACGCACACCGGTGTGCTTCAGGCATAGCCATACAGCTCAAAAAGCCTCATAATTGCTATGTCCATTTGACGTTTCTGTATTTTACTGACCAACATACACAATCAAAAAGGTTTTATTGCTAAAACTGGCAACACAGGAGTGTGTTGTTAGACTTACACAAATACCAGCCATGACTATTTATTCATTTGCTATGAAAAGACTCATACTTTCCCTTACAGCTAAATGTTATGGATTAAGTGTTCAAGGCCTGTAACTAGCCTTATTTAAAGAATCATGAGATGACAGTTACAACTATAAGTGCAAAATATAGAACCAAAGTAGGGTGACTCAGTTTAGTTTGGTTTGAGAGTTGAAGGCTTTGGCCCTGACACAGATTTACTAAAGCATTCAATGTATGCAGTGGCTTGCTGAGAAGTGTGGCTCAAAGATGCCAGGTTATACTGTGCTAAGTTCAACACATCAAGGTCAAAGTTTTCTTTCTTGTCAGGGGGCCCAGAATTCCTAGCAGTGCACCTGGGCCCCTTCAAATACTGCACACTCTGCCGTGTTTCGCAGAAGACATCTTGGAAGTATTATACATTGTTTAATACGCTGCTTTTCAATGCATGCATTGTAATAGCTGTTAATACAGTACTATTGATCATCCACTTTACCATCATTTACTGCAAAGTTATTGTTAGTAAGGCCCAATTTCCCACAAGCCCCAGACGTTTGCAGGCTAAATGTTACAGCTCGACAAGGACAAATTACCCAAAGGCAAGAATTAGTCAGAAAGGCTCATTTTCAGCTGTATAAAGGAATAGTTTCACATTTTGGAATACAAACATATTTGCTTCCTTGCCTTGAGTTATATTTCAGAACTGTTAATAGGTACATCAGTTTAGTGTTGCAGCTGGTTGCAGATGTGCTAATTTTAATTACTTAATACACTGTTAGCTTGTGAATATTCCTCTTATCTTATCTTAAATGATACAAGAGTCCAGGTAGGTACCAGAAGTACTCCATACACCTACAAAGGACTAAGCTATCCTATAGTTATCTTATTATTATCTTTATATTGCGTTATTTTAATCTGTCTTTTATACAAAAGATATATTAATCGTATTTTTCTTATTTGTATTATATACAAAAGTTATTTTACAATAGGCAACATAAATTGTGCAATATATATTATCTACGGGTTTCTCTTCTCTTTTTTTAATAATGAAAGTCTAAGTCTACTGTGGTGGCATCTCCTTACATAAGTTTGAATGCAAGCTGTCTTAAGAAGTCTTCTACTTTTCCTTTAACTTTATATGTAACGTTACTTTTACAAGATCGGGAAGAACCAACATTACTGCTTTTATCCACAAGGTCCAACAGAATCAACACAAAATGAAGGTTCTTTTAGGCTTTAAGTTAGCAAATTAATGCAGTGGAGAAAAAGCTAACTATGTCCTGGCACCAGCTTTATATTTAACAGACTGAACAGACGGAGTGGTATTGATCTTCTCATCTAACTCTCGCCAAGAAAATGAATCATTTTATTTCCCAAAACTACTCCTTGTGAGAAGTGAGAAACCAGTACTCTGAAAACCAGTGTGAAACCTTTGCCTGATTGACAGCCTGCTTTTCTGCCTGTAATGGACTGCTTGGCTAAGTGGGTGGCTATTTGTCTGACCAAACCAGCGGCCTGTCTGACTGATAGAGTTACAGTATGACGTACAAACTGAATTTCATGCTGCCTGCCTGCTCTGAATGCTTGGATAAGCCTCTAATTGACTGTCGTGATGGCTGACTGACTGTTTTCTGACTGACAGGCTGGCTAACTGACCAGAGCAGTTCACAGGGATCCTGTGCCAATGGCCGCCTCTGCAACAGGGTCTTGTGAATTTTGACAGCACTGCGATGCTTGCCTTCTTTCTCCAGGAGACCTGGCCCAAACCCCAGTTAGCTTGGTTCATAGTTTATGTGATATACATTCAGGGAAAAAGGTCATGTCCACTTCAGAGCCATATGACTTGTCTCATGTGATGGTTAGACTGGAAAATGTACACTATATTGACCAATATTGGCCTTTTCCAGCTGTTTTTTGGGGTCCTGCGGTCTAAATGGTGCTTTTTTTTCACATCAAAACCCAATTCTTGGTAAAAGGTTCTTTTAGTCTCAAAATCTTTGAATATTAGCACAAAATCAAAAGTAAAATATCAGCAACTACAAAACGTATTTTCTTTTGGTATGATCTCCTTTTCAGAATCTGTCAAACCCGGTCTACTTCATTCAAAACGTTTGCAAAGTGACAGTGAGCATGGGTTTGTGAGTCTACCTGTATCAAATGTACGTTTGCGCACTCCTCTATGAGTGTGTGTGGGTTCTTCATGTGTGTCGAGGGGTGACTGACGGGGAATTTTTTAGCTGGAGCCTGACCACATCTGTGCCCCATCCAGATGAAGGAACGGAAATGCATCCTGGGAAGTTGAGAGATTGAGATCAACAAAACACAAAGTTGGTCTCTGTCCGGGCGCTGGCACAGCCAGTCATCCTGAGGACTCTAAGATCAGTTCACTCTCACTGAGACTGAACTGAAAAACGAGAAGTGATAAAAAACACCACAGGAACACACGCAAATGTGGCAGTGCGTCGAAGTATCGTGTTGAGTGACCCAAAATGAGGTGAAAACTGATAGATGAAACTTTTAACACAGAGTGCAGGTCAGGTTGGTGGCATTAAAATTGCTTATTTTCCTCAATGTACTCTTTTTTTATTCCTAGAAAGCAAAATGTTGTGAATCTTGACTCCAAAATCAGCACTTGTGAACTGAGTGGTATTATTTTAGGCATTTGGGTCTAGCATTAACAAAAACTAAATCTTATGTTGGATTGACAGGACGTGAATAGCTCATGTGTTTAGTTGAGTTGGTAAACTGTAATGACATCTACTGTTTTGACTGAACTGACAACTTCTTTGCCCTTTACTTGAAACATGCAAAGCCAACTGGTAGATAAGATCTCTTCCCTGGACCTGAAACAAGCTGCTTTCTCTTCCTCTGTGCTCCCCGCAGTCCCTGGAAACACTCACAGCTTTCTAGAAAGAAATTTCACTTGAAAGTTTGATCCGCAGCTGAATTCGAGACGTTGTTGAAATGTTAATGCCGCAGTCCTCAGGCTATCTGGACGCTGCAGGGACTGATATTAAAATAATGTGGCCACTCAACCATATGTCTGCAAAAACTGAAAACAAGTGTAATGTAATACAATGTAAACTGAGGAGCAGATTCAAGCATGTAGCTTGGGGTTTAGAATTTAGGTTCAATATTTTCTGAGACTATAATATAATAATAATAAGATAATGTATGAGAGAATACAGCTTCATGATTTTATAACACTGACTCTTTAACACAATGAGGGATGACACAGAAACATGAACATTTTACCACCAAGTATTTTAATTATAATTTTGCCATGCACATTCCTGGCCAGCCAGGGTCCATTTATATAAATCTATAAACAAACGCTGGGAAATGCAGCATAAAATAAAACAATATGTTACATACACAATATTTACAAAAATATGAATATACTAAAATTATGATGACAATTGTCCTTTATAAAAATAAAAGCGTGAGTGACAAATATATGTTTTGCATGCAGAATCTGTTTCAGCATCTACTGCTTATTGCAGTTTGACTTTGTATGGCTGGCAAGGTGTTAGAAATGTAAATGAACAATGCAACAGTAGCAAGCATTTCATAGCATAGTGTTCAATATTATTTACAACATCATTATGTACAAAAATATACAATCTGTATTCTACTGCCTGCATTGTTGCTATACTGTTAATTACCGTGAAATTAATGATATACAGAGGCCCAAACCAGACTTCATAGGCATTTTCCACAAAAAAAGTATGATTTCCATATTCAAATCCTTAAACAGACATCTCCTCCTTCTACCTCATTAAAACTTCCAGAATCTCTGAATATGCATGTGGTTTATTTCTACAGTTTTCCTGCTGGACACAACATGTCTCCTACTTCACTGTAAAGTCCATTCTCAGTGGATGTGCACTGGTGGTTTCAAGTTTCTACATCACACTGTACAAGTTGCATACTGGACCAGGACTGACCTCTAAAGTATTTGTGATGTCACAAGTCATGCTTATAGGCCCTGCCCCTTAAAAATCAGATTTTTAATGAGCACAGAGAAACTTTCCACTTTCAGCAGATGGATGTGAAAACATCTCTCTCTAGTGTCAAACTCTGCACAGACATCATTCAAAGAGCACACTGTAGGGACACTGTTTTTTGAATGGAGGGGGACTTTAAATAGTTTTTGCCTGCCTGGTTTGGTCCTCCATAGACATATACAGAAAGTTGCTTTGAGCAAGTGTGATGGCAACAAATGACCAGATAATTCATTTCAGCACGAATGGTCTGACTAAATAGTAAACTAAATTTGTTTCCACAAAACGAACTGATTTTATGACTCTGTCTGGCTGCCTGTTATTTACCAGGTGTATGTCTTTGGTAAAACCACTGATGTTAACCGTCAAGGTCTGACATTTTGGGAGGCATTTGGAGTGGTGCTAAATGTTGTGGTGTTTTTTTCAACTTTTCTGTATTAAAAACATGATGTCATGATATCATGTCAGCAAAAGATGCATGGTAGCCCAATGTGATCATTACGGTCAGCTCTAGAAATGTAGAAAAGACGTAAGGCAAAAGACATCCAGGATCATCATCCACCAAACATCCATTGCTGAGCTATTATTGGACACTGATTCACTCATGACCAGACTTTGAGGGGAAGCCTTGAGTAAAGTCATGCTGCACTTTTAGTGTCAGAGGCTGAAAAAACAAATTATTTACTGCAGGAGTGAATGTAATGGCAGGTTGTAAGATGATAATGAGTGGGTTTGCTGGATGTGAAGTGGCCATGTTTGACGGTACTCTGTCCTTTGACAGTGGTTTCTCAGATGACTGCAAACACTCTGAAGGCTTTTCCACCTGCTGGGTTCAGTAGGCTGGAAGAGGAAGAGCAGAGAGAGAACAAAGATGTAGTCCAGTATAGAGATAACAATTTCAACTCAAAACAATATCTTTTGCCAGTTATCATATCTGGCATTCCTTAAATTAGCTATTTTTTCATACATGCACATTTTCCTCAGTATATACATTGTATCACATTCTTTTAACCATACCTCTCCGAAGTGATGCCGTTTTGGTAACTGCCACTGTACTGGTTCCTTTTCTCCACAGGCATCACATCGAGGTACCCTCCAGACTCATTCTGGATCACTCCAGCATGAATGGCTGCTCGGCAGATACTAGATTTCTGAAACAACAGCAAAAAAATTGGCCAATTGGAGTTAACATGGTGTCACATAAAATCATTGATTTAAAAGAAAAAGAAGAATCTGCTGTGAAAAGGGTCCATGTGTGCCAAAAAGATTTTAGCAGACATTTAGACATAACAGGAAGTGTAACATTGGATATGGCTGGATTCAATCTAGTTTGCATTTTAAAATAAGTCTAAAAGTCTCAAATAAAGTGCTGGTGCTGGACTCAAGCCATCATTAATGTTGTAAATTAAACCTGTGCTTTACTGGCTATGATAGGCCAAAAATGTCGGTTGTAAAGAAGGTCTATTATTTCCAGCAGAATCAATGAAAGACGGCAATGGTCAGTTTATGACAGTGGTGTAGGAACTCACATCTGAGTAGTGTTTTGTCCCAATGACTCGGGCTCGGCTGTCACGTTGACAGTTCCTGGGACAGTACAACCTGGAGAAAAAGCCAGAGCTCACTTTAGGTCATTGGATATTTTGCTTGCTACGTATATGCAGGCCAAAATAATCTCATTGGTTGACATAACTATTTAGGCAGAGTTAAAGAACCGCAGGTTGTTGGACTGCAGATAAAAGAACACTATAAATGGCAAAGCACATAACCTTTGTTTGCCAGATATAGCTTCAAATATCCACATGGTGAATATAAAAATCTTAACTCAGATTTTCCTTGATTGATGATATTGAAAGGTTAACAGGGTAGCTAATGGCTAGTGGTCCATATGCAAGGCTTTCTTAGCGCACTGCGGAAAATCGACTTTGAATCAAAATGTAATCCCAAGATTCAAAATTTAATTGTGAGAACCCAAAAAGAAAATCACACCCCTAGCTACATCCCTCTCCATTTGAAAGGTCACATGGGCCCAATAGCTATCCCCCATGACTTAGTTTGACTGTGGCTCACTGGCTCAACCTATTGTGGTTTAGTTCTAACTGTGTTGTGTTTTGTGTTTGAGCGAGGTGACTAAACCCAAAGCAGAATGTTACCTGGGACAGTGTCGTACGGGTTTCTTGAAAGGGCAGAATAGTGCCACGGTGGTATCACATGTTACTGCCTTGACTGGGAGACAAAAAAGGCACAAAAAGCAAAATGATCCTCCAGAGTTTCATGTTTCTGTAACTGTGTCCTCAAAGTGAAAATGACTATGCTCCTTACCAGGCACCGTCTCAACTTTGAAGGAATTTGCACTCCTGTTTTTCCTGTGAATTTAAAGAAAAGTGCATGATGGTCTGTCCTGCATCATATAGATCCTGTATGTTGTTAGACATTGTTGCTTTTTATTACATACACCTACTTCTTCACCTATTTGTATGTACAAAATAGTTTATTTTGACCTTTGTTTTCATTGTTTTCAGCTTTATGTCTATTTCTATCTTCCAGAAAATTGTTCATGGAACTTTGTGTAACATTAAGAGTAACTTAAAACCAGTATCAAATACTCGTACGTGTACAAACGTATATTTGGACAATAAAGCTGATTCTGATTCTGTATTAAACTAAATATGGAAACTCATTCATACCCAAGTGACTGAATACCATTCTTGTATGACTTGGTGAATTGTTGTTTTCTACCCAGTCTGGTCACGTCCAGCCATCCTCCATCATTGTCAATAACGCCAGAGTGTAACCCAGCTCCACACACACTGGATTGCTGCAAAGATGTGAGTGTTAATGTACAGCAAGGTGTAGTATAAAAGTGGAATTTTCCAAATGTTAGTTTGAAAATTGAACTGAAAGATGAAGTTGGATCTGTCAGTAACCAAACATTAGCTTCTTTTTTAGGCTCTTATTATTGCAGATTCTTATTATAGAGTAATACAAATTATAAATATATAATTGTCATTGGTGATCATTTACCATGTCATAATATCCAGTCCCAACAACTTTTCCAGGACTGTCAAGGCAGCCAGGCGGACACTCATATCTATACAAAGGAACAACAGTAAAATGAACAACATCTTGGCACTGGTGCTTTGCTTTTAATATAACCACCTTATATTGTCCTGTTGTTAGTATAACTCAGTGTCTTTTGTAATAAATGATGTAATGTCTATATCTAATCTGTACTGATAATTCTCACACATCAAATGTTTACCAAAATTTGCATATTGCCTATACTTGATGTTCGCCTATTGTCCTCAGCATTTACCTGTTACAGGTCGTTCCCTTGCACTGATCTCTCAGCTTAGTCTCACATTCAACCTGTTGGCCTAAAATAACAAACAAACAATATTGTATTAACAATAACAATAATAATAATAATGATAATAGCAGTAATGTGTGATCTCAAAACTGCGCCATTCAGAAAGATGAGAGACCATTTCTATTTCTAGTATTGGGAGCGGTCCTTACACATCTGCTCTGTGCTTACAACCTGGTTTCTCTCTAGGTTGTCATTGGGCGAGGGGTTTGGGCTCTGGGCCCTGGGTTGGGGCTCCCTGTCCCTTACTGGTTCTGGTTCAGGTTCAATATAGTTGGTCTCCTCAATCTCAGGAGCTGGACGCCTGTCAACACCCCCATCTGAAATCATGCATGTAAGTTTGTCATTGTATTGTTTCACTAAGTGTTATCATTTTTCTATATTGATACAAGTTGCACAAAACAAAATCTAACATATTTCTTATATGGAAAACTGGGCACATAAAAAACATTATAGTGAGGGGAAATATCCATGGTGAAGCCTATTATTATTAAATAAAATTAACTATTTTCGTTTGACAATTTGAGACGGTACAAATGTATGGAAGGAGATCAAACTTGGAAGAAAACCACAACCCTGTCCCAAACCCACCTTTATAGCAGAGATTGTCCCTGCAGCCTCCAGCATAGCTAGCTGGACAGGCAGAACAGGGAGCTCCATATTTGTACGGAGCATGACCCCACCAGTTGCCCCTGAAAGAAACAATTACGTCAGAGACTATGTTATAGTGCAGAAAATCTGATTTATTTCAATGTTTTTTTTAACAAGAGATGAAGATCCATGAATGCAACAACAGGAAATGATTCCTGAAAAGTACTTTATGTGTGTGCTGCATTCATTGGCAGCAGTCACTAAGACAACAATGGGATGTTCTTTGGTTTACACAGCAGCAGAAACCTCACAAAGTACCTGATTGGTTTAAAGTGTTTACTTCTGCCAAACCTTTAATGCTGTCAAGAGTTCTTTACAGATTTAACATTGCACTCTGACCATGTCAGACTCATGATGGACAGACATCATCATCAATGCAGCAGAACCACAGACAGATCATCCTATTTACATTGTTCTTCCTTGTCAACCTGGTGACTACATTAGCCATTCGGGTGTGTTATGCTAGTGATGACAATGTAGCTTCAAGGTGCGAGCTTCAAGCAGAGATGAGCAGCGGGCAACAGAGGTCTGGTAAAATCACTTCTTTCTAATTTATCAGACTTCACACAGTTCCCTCTTGAGCAACGGTTTTATACAACTATTTTCACATATCCAGCAGTACTCCCCAACACCTTTAAACAGACTTGGATTTGTAAAATTGGTGGAGATCTTGTTTAAAGCTGAAATATATAACTTTTATAAAAATAACATTTTGTATTATTTGCTGAAACTTTCACTAGTACATGAGAAATATAATCTGTGGAAAAAATGGACAAAAAAAAGTTGATTGTTGAGTCCCAGGTCACCAAATACCGATGCTGGGAATGAGACTAAACAATCGACTGTCTTCAAGCCACCAATGCAAACCGTCTTTCTGTTTTTCTCAGCTCTTATTGGTTGTCTTTGTGCAGGCCCGGTGGATTCTTGTAAATACCATTAGGAGCCCTAGGAGGACCAGATGAAACCGTATTTTTTCACAGATTATCTGTCTCATGTTCTACTGTCAGGATATAGTGAAAGTTTCCGCAAATATTTCTATACAAAATTACCTACTGCAGCTTTAATAACTGTTCATGTGTTGTATCTTGTTTGTATCTTTTGTTTAGCAACAATATACCCAAGTTAAAATAATTGATTCTGACATTATAGTAATGATCTTTTCTTTATTTTGAAGTGTATCACACAAAGAAGCAAACACATACGGTGGCGAGTAGTTGCAGACCAGATAGACAGCCTTAGCCCAGATCATTCCCCACACGTTCATGTTGTAACACACATTGATCGCACAGCCAATACGATTGCTTGTCGCCCACACCAACTGAAAATTTAAATACACAAAAACACACACAGAGTAAATCTTGTAGCTGAATTTTCAAAATGCAAGTGTTAGCATTGTGTATTACAGCCTGATTTTACATTGTTTCTGTACATGCAAATCTTACACCAATACCAATACTGTTAAGCTTTAATAACTTATAACTACTACTAATAATAATAACTAACTAATAACTAAGATTGGTCCTGTTTTTATCAAACTGATGCCACTGAACACCCTCAGTACATCCACACAGGTGTTTTTACTCATTTTAGCGGGTGATCCCTTCTTGGATCCGATGCCAGAATAACTATAAACATCTGTCTGGGTACAGTTTCATATTAGATTTTTTCAGAAATGTTATATGTTCCATTTTTTTTAAGTTTCAAGTTTTTTTAATTGGGAAGTTTTAATATTGTGTTTTAAAGAGCCAAAAATGATCCAAAGGCATTGTTAACCCTTTAAGACATGGAAAGAAGCCCTTACCTGCGTGTAGTGAGTACAAACAGGTCCTGAACATCTGAATGGGCAGTGTGGGTTACACTCCTGGGAGTAGGGATAGCTGTAGTACCTCACCTCATCATACCAGGCCTGGACGTGGTATGTAGGGGGGCGGTCCCTAACGTCATACAAAAGATGTGATACTGTATGCTTTAATTTTATCACCAAAAAAACAATAAATGACGATGAGAATATATATATATTGAAGACATGTAGCAATGGCACATTAGCAATGGCTGCATTCCATTTACATCTACATTCTGAGTTGTGAGGCTTGGAAACGATCTTAACAAAAGGCACGTTTGTTTGTTGTTAAAATGCACTTGGTATTACACTGATGTGGAAAAGGTGCATATTTGAAGAAAACACAACATTATTTTTAACATAATACTCTTGTATAAAACCCAATTTTACTGACACACACTTGCACATACACACCTGCCCCAGTGCGCTCCAAGGTTTTGACCTATTTGTGTCAACATGTGGCTCGGTCCATGTTCCCATCGGCAGGTATGTGCCCAGTGCTCTGCGCTCCTCTCTAACTCATAATCCCATACCTGGGGAGCAAACAAACACACACACACACACACACACACACACACACACACACACACACACACACACTCAGAACGACACATCTTCTTGGTTTAAAAGTTATTTGCCTCTGGAAAGATGAACTAAGTCACCTCTGGAGGTCAGCCAGGGTAGGTGGCTAACTTTTTTTTTTTTTTTTTTTTTTTTTTACAGCTGGCAGCTAAAGCATTAAGTTTGGTTGTATTAGTATTCTCTTGGGCTCCAGGTTAAACTCAATGAGTCCAGAGCAGCTTTGCCTCCAACAGATGTTTGCAGACCTCAAACTCCACTCTGGATTACCCTCACCATTGAAGTGGGCTAAGTGGCCACTTACCGTAGTTGCAGCTTTAATTGCCACTCATTACATTTTTCAGATATCTCCTCATTCTCTTCGAGGGAACTAAGCTACCAAAAATTCCACTGAAACTAATCTGAAAGTAACCTTACACACTGGAGGCATAGTCAACCTGAAAGATGCACTGCTCCTTACTTTAAAGTGCAGTGGCTGTGCGCATGCGTCTCGCAAATTTAACACAGTATAGTCAAAACTAGGCCTCTCCTATTAAACACACACATTCACTCTCTTACACGTAGACACATGCATGAGAGAGAAAGGAAACAGAGAGGTATCACCCCCACCACATCAACTTGCAGCTTTGTGCTAGTATTCAATGTGGTTGTTTCATAGCTTGTTTCCAGTAAGTTTTGGTCTCATAAAACAAGCTGAGAGAGAAAAAGCTCACCAAAAAAAAAAAGCTACCAAAACAGAGAGCCTCTGTTTGGAGGCTCAAAATACCTAAAAAAAAAAAAAAGGATTCACAAACCTCTTGTTTTGAACAAAGCAGGAAAGCAGACTGGGTATGATATTGAGCAATTCAAATGTTGCAGCAAAGTTAATTTGCTGATTACTAATTGACTTTGTTGGGGAGGGAGAAGAATGGGTGCAGTGTGCTCTGCTGTTGGCATATTGTTTGGTTGAATTACGCCTATCACACGTCAAAACTAATGGGATAATGCTGAAGTGTGGAGTTGTAACTGCTCTGATTGACCACCATAATGTGTTCCACATGTTTGGTAGGGCTAATACACTGTGCACACTGTTGCCCATTCACGGTGGTGCTGCTTTCTGTTCAGGCCTGATTGGAGAAGTGATATTTTGACTCTTTACTTCTTTGGCCACAATCCACCAGTGAGGTGATTTTCTGTTTTGAACTCCTGCATGATTCCAATGTGATACTATATTTTTACATGATCATTACACTATTGTAGTTGTTAAGTAGAAGTCATATTATTTAAATGTTGGTGATCTTCAATCTGTAGTTTCTCCCACTTGCTTTGGGGAGCATGTTGATGCAGGCATCAACATGTACAAATATAATCTTGGAACGCATGTTTGAGTAAGGACTAATGAATTTGAGGTCTTACCAGACATTGAAAGAGCAGTTTGTGACAGGATTATCATGGAAAAGGTATCATGGTAACAATTATTTGATCCTCCGTCTCAACTATCTTGAGTGTACTGTATAACTGTATAGTACTGTATAGTGAACTGTATAATTACCCCATTCATGTTACAAAGTCACCTATGACGAATGTGTGCTTCCACATATTTGACTATAATGTGACATAATGAACCAGGTTTTGTGTTTTGGCCACACAACCAGCATTTTTCTAACCCTGAAATCACAAGATCAAAAAATCATGAGAGCACATCAGAATTCATCTTACCAGGCTTCCATCTATGTGGTCATACTACAGTGGTACAGAATCTGTCAGCGTTCTTTAAGGAATTACTGGCAGCTACGGGGTGGGCACTAGGTGTGACTTAGATACTGCTAGCATCAGTTATATCAAAAATTGGACTGTATTTCTTAGTTGAAAGAAGAGCTGTTCAAAAACCAACTGGTGATGACATGGAAGGTTCCCACTTGCTTGCTCCTCTCTATGACGGTCTTAGAATCGTTCAGACAACTCCTCGTAGGACCTATGATGCATACTGAACCCCTACCCCTACTTCTGAGGCAATATTGCCCACCTGCACAGCCCATCTTTCACTTTTACTTTTATAGGTTATAATGAAATTTGAATTCAGCACAAAGCTTTCACTGCAAACAAATACAGCAGATTCTAATGATCTCCACCAGTTCATTATTCTCTCCATGTTCTTGTTATTCTTCACCCTCAATTATCCAGCAGAGAGGAAGATGGACTGCCCGCCAGCCTTTGGAGAAAGGTCAGGGTAACAACTTCCAATCTCCTTTTGCATTCCAAAGAGCATTAAGTTCCCAAAATACAGAGCTGTTTCCAGCCATCTGCCAGGACCACCTCTGCGTGTAAGAGGTGCAGTCTTAAAGCAGTAGATTTTAGGGTGAATGCTCAAGGTAGCTCTTTGCAAAAAAAAATATTGAAGAAGAAAACAAGAAGCCATCCTTTGCATTTGGAATTTAAAGTATGCAAAATGTTTCACTTAAATGCCTGTAATTCAACCTGCAGTATAGAAAGTGGTTGTGATTATGGGAACCTTTAATGAGGTCTCTGTTTCTCAGGAAAATCTGATGGGCAAGAAGTGACGTACTTTAGATTAACAGACGCAACATTGCTTTAAAGGCATTTGCTGAATCGCTTTTGTATGAAGTTGTATGAAAGTGCAGCCCCTTTGGCCTCCAAATCCTGCAATCTGAAAGCCGAATACTTGGCCCTCATCAGTCCACTGCCTTACCACATCATTATCATCAGTAATAGTATCCTTTGCTAAAGAAACACTGGATTAGTGTACATAACATACATTTACACTACCATGCCCCGCACTTCAAACGGTGAGGCTCGACATGTTTGAAATAGATTCACCGCTGTGGCACCCAAAATGAGATGCGTGGAGGATCAAATAAAAGATAACATTGGCCTCAGCTAGGGTTTGAGTGAGCTGCGATGGATGGGGAGAGAAGAGGCGAAGGGAGAACGCGAAAGACGAGGAGGGTGAAGAAAAGCCAGAGGGAAAACTTGTAAAGCTGGAAATCAAGAAAGCAAAGGAGCAAGGCAAGGAGAAAGAGACTCAGCAGGAGGAGAAATGGAGTGAGAGAGTAAGGAGATGCAAGGCAGGAAGAGAGGGAGGGAGGGTAGGATGGTTGAGGTAGAGTGGAGGACAACACTGCGGGGGTGAAAGCTGGATTTGGGCCAGGGTCAGCGAGGGCGGGCAAGCAGGAGGCAGGAGCTAGAGCTAGCCAGATGGTGGCTTTGGCTTGCAGATCTCGTTCTCTCTGTCTTGACTTCCCTTCTACGCTGACTTTAGCTGACAGAGCCATACTGGCAGAGTCAGGAAAGTGCTTTCTCTGAGAAAAACTTGTGACTTTAATGTCAAACCTCTCAGATTTGGCAAGGTTCACTAGATACTGACCCGATCGGAGACTAGTGTGTCTAATCTTCTCTCATGTACGTATACTGTATGCATGCAGTCACAAGGGCAAAGATCCAGATCCTGATTTACCTTTGCCTCATGCATGCTTTTCTAGCATGGGACAAATGTAGTTTACAATAATAACGGTGACATATTTACTAAAATCAAAAATTCCAAGGTTCAAAAATGTTTAGCAACGCTGTCGTGTAAACAGCATCCTCAGCACTTAGGCCTACCATGTATTCCATGTTGGAGGCAGGAGGGTGGACCTGACCTCGCAGCTTGTTGTGCAGGTCAAGGATGAGGTGCATGTCTCCCTCACTGATGGCCCTCTTCCCTCTTGACCTGGCCCTCCACCACTCCTCATCCTTGTCCCTGTACTTGTCCAGGATGGACTCGAGTCGTGTGGAGTTGGTGAGGACCATAGCCAGGACAGTCTGGGTGAAACACAGGAACAAGCTTGCTGCTCTGACCCAGCTTGGGAAAGGAAGAGACCTCTTCATGATGGAGACAATACTGCTGCTGAATCAGAATACTTTTTGTTGTCTGCAAAAAACAGAGAGTGCATGTTTAAGTAGAATAGCATGAGTTTGAATTTCTGCTTATTTACTTGTTGCATATGAGAACACAGTTTCCATGCAGCTGTTTAATATGTGATATGTAAAGCACTTTTTTTGCATAACCATTCACCTCAGTGTACATATTAATTTTCTCCCTCCTTAGTAAGCTCACCTACACCACAGCATCTTTATAAAAGAGGCCAAAGGCACCCTGAATCTGTCCTCTGTCTCTGTTTAATAATGCTGTAATTATAGGGGGACTTCACTTCAAACAGTAAGGCTAACACAGCTTTCAGCAGTCCGAGTGCATCTGCAGGTCACTGCATCACTACACACAGTGGGACCAGTGTAAACTTACTTTTCACACGTTATGCTACAGAGCAGGATATTTAGTGCGCATGCGCGAATTACCGTACTGTATGTGCTAACATGTACTGCATGAAGGCATTTTAATTTGAGATTTAAAAACGGATTCAATTATAGCACGCCTTTGACCCTTTTCTTTAAATGATCCCTTCAAGTACTACGATACTGCAGTGATATTTTCTTTACAACAGTTACATAAGAAAACAGTTCCAATGAGTTTAACCTAACAGAGAATATTGCTTAGGCTATATATGTTTATTTCTACATTATGATTCTAGTGATGCCATAGGAATACTTTTAAAAGACAAAAAGTGATAAAGGTTGCTCAGAGAGTGACAAAGACACACACACACAGGTCCTAAATAATATTATGTCATTTGCATTGGATCGTAATGTTTAGGGCCAGTTTACCTTTAAATTCCGCCAAAATATCTCTCAGGTGCAATACTCCAGATGCCAGAACGCCTTGAGATTATTGCAGAGTGACAGTTTTCCAATCCAGGGAGCCTTTAATTCCATCCATCACACAAAATGAGTGCCGGCAGTCGGTTCTAAATCAGGCTGTACATCCACGCTGGAAGACAGAGAGCTCACAAATGTCTGTAGGTACCTGTTGAATTCCTCAGGTCGCTCAGTGCGCTACCGGCTGCATGGGGCCGCTGCTCATTTTGCGCTTATATGCCAAATTTGCGCTTAGCAACGCGCAACGCATGGGACCACGCCTCCACAAACCCTCTTCATCCCCCTTACCGCACCCCTACAAAACACACACACACACACACACACACACACACACACACACATACACACACATAGAGGCCGGCGGGGATCTGTTGGAACTCCAGGGCTGATCTTGCCTATTTGAGGAGGCACCTGATCACACTAGAAGTGACGTGAGGGTAAACTTGTGGATGTTATGAGAGCAGCCCACTCCTGTTACAAATACAGCACATTTGGCTTTTTCCAAGGTTTTTGTTTGACAAGAAGACGCGGCCAAAACCTTTAGAAACAAAGTTATTGGCTGAAACAGGATAAAGATACAGCATTCATGTGCAAGGAAGTGTGAGGCCCCCTAATGAAAGCCAGTTTTAGGATGAGTTAAGAAGCAAATTTGCAGTTATTTCTTCTAGTCTCATATTGGATCAGTACTATAGCCATTTCTCACAGTACCATTGTTTACTACAGGAGCAGGGTTTGCAGTCATATCTGTACAGTGTCCAGTAGAAAATAGTTCCTATATTTTCTACTATTAATAATTATTCATTCTCTTTGTACAAATGCATCAAACATCCCTTTTTTTTCCTTGGGAGCTGAACTGGTCTGAGATCACATCAGGTTTTTTGAAGAATGGCAGCAGCAGTATTCCCCTGTGACACGACCACAAAGCACTGATTCATCTGCCTTTACTACAGAAAAGATTTGTGTCAGGTTTGTGTGCTGTGTGTATATATGAGGGTGTGTGTGGGTATGCTCTCTCTCCACTCTCTCGCTCTCTGCTCCCTCCACTCCAACATGCTCTGTTCTGCCAGTCCATCAGCATGAAGGGGACTGCTTCTTTTAAATTGTCCTTGAGGTACAAATAATGCAAATAAAAGCTAGCAAAAGTACAGTGAAATGATAATACATAAGTATATTACACAGGTAGCGTAATACAAGGATTGTGGCATGGCCTGCAGCATGTATCACATTTCAACCAGGAAACCTAAAGTCAACTAATTTACCATAATGATCAGTTGCTCTTGCTTTCATTTAGTTAAATATACAGTCTGTTTACTCTCACAGAAGCTCATCTATTAGCACGTATTCCTTAAAATGCCAAAGAACATGTCCATCAAAATATCCCAGAGCCCAGGTCAGAGTCTTCAAAATGACAAAATCCTCTCACATGAGGATGAGGGACTTACTGTCAGGAGTGCATTCATCAATTATCAAATTACATGATAATGTCAATGATAATCAACCAGTCGTTTCAGGACTCTCATAATTCTACATTTTAAGTTGTTTGTACTTAATACAAAATTAGTAATTTCCCAGAAGAGGGTTGAAAAATAAGAAGGTCTGCAAATAAAAGTTTTGCTGACCCCAAAAAAATGTTTTTTGTAAAAAAAAAAAAAGAAGACATCATGGATGCAGAAACAGCATCAGCATTGTTTCAGACAGATGACAGGCAGCCTGCAGGGTTGATGGGTTACTGGACACCCCTCTCTGGCCAGATGGGTTTTATTTGAATTTTATTTTTCTCATCTTACACAGTATATTTGTAATTTGCAAAACTGGTATTAACAATAATTTTAGCTAGGGCAGCCTTATATACAGACAGTCACCAGTTTTAATCTGTATTCCACTAAAATCAGGTAATGTCAGAAGTTTGAGTCATCATTATTAGTGATCACTGTGCACACTTAAATGCCAGCCAGCATTTATGTGCTTTGGTGATTATATTGAATGATTCAAGATGATGATGGCTCTACAATATTTGTTTGGTCTTTTCTACAAGCATCTACTGCCCCCTCTTGGATAAAGAAGAGACTTTCTGTAAAAAACAACTTGAGCCTTAAACAAGCCATCAGTCCATCAGTGAGGTTTGAGCTGAGTCATGCAAGATAGTAGTCATGTCTACCTTGCAATTTTAAACAAATTAAACAAAGATCTTTTTTTTTTTTTACATGTACTTCAACTATCTATATTGTTTCTCTGCCATGGCAATACAACCACAAATACACATCCACTATGTGAATTCATACAGGGAGAACATTAACTCTGGTTTAGATACCTGCACCTGCATGGACCTTTCATTGCCCCTCTACCGGCCCCTCATATTGTCTTTTAAATCATGTGGAGCAGAGCAAGCTGTCCAGATTATTTATCTATTATGTGCTGTATTGATGTATTAATGTTTTCTTTAACAATTTACTGTAATGATTAGTGAGGCTGCTTCCCATGTGTCTCTACAGCAAATACTGTAAGCAGCAAAACTAAAAATTGTACTTGACAGGACGGAGTAAACTGTATATACTGTATGAACCTGGACTGTGTGTGATGGATGTGTAGAAGAACACAGAACTATGATTAACATTAGATCCTGCTGGCATGTTGGGAGATTTAAATAGTCAACAAGGTTTAGCTGCTGTGGCTGTGTAAATGTGGTATTAGTCAGCTATTAATCAAAATCAAGTAAAAGAAAAACCCACTACTTACTGTAACTCATGTATAAACATCTTTGGAGAGAATCATCTTCTTCTATTGACTGTTTGGCTTTGTTCCACTGTTGGTGACATGTTTGTGGGCAGAAGATAGTTTCCAAGTAAAATTGGCTGCCTGGCTCTGACCTCAAAAACCATACATTGTTTTTATTTATTTTTTGATAAAGGTGTAATCAACCATGATATCCAGGTCTGATTACGCAGTATGTCATGTTCACCATGTTAGCATGGTAACTGCTAATTATCACTAAACACAAAGTACAACTGAGACTGATGGGACTTTTGCTTTTTTTAGCCAAACATATAGTTCATCATGTGGGGGGGATTGAAAATATGTACTAAATGTCATGGCATTACACCTAATTATTTTTAGGACATCACTCAAAACAACATACCCACTTCACGCCAACACAGTCAGCGAGTACTTGAGGCTGTGGGGTACAACAACAACCCCATCAGAATGAGAGAGGAGCCAGAGAGATTGTTGTAGTGGCTGTCAATTTTAAAAAAAAAAACAACAAAAAAATTCTAACAAGCTTTTAATCTGGTATCCATGTAGGCTATCTTAAAATCCACTGTGGCCTGCTCATAGTGCGAGATGTATGTTCGCTTTTGTAATTCATGTCTAAACAGGCTGCGTAGTACGAAAGCTGCATGTTAGCAGAGCAGCAGCAGCTTCGGTCCTCCATCAGAGACACAAGGTGCATTCAGGGACAGCACTGTACGTAGATCACCTGCCATACAGCACCACTAAGAGCCCAGTACACAGCCACTGTATTTACACGTGTCACAGAGATGTGGGAGAATGGCAACAGGGGAAGGACCCAGATGCAGACATGCAGCACGATGATAGGCTAGAGGGAAGGAAGGACCCCAAAAGTGCTTTAGCTCCTAAGATATCCCAACAGGAGGTAGAACAAAGCACAACAATGTTTTTATATTTTCTACAAGGTCTACCATATATGAAATGGATTTTTGTATAAAAATATTTTACTGTAAATAACTGATAGATATTGTGGCATACCCCATATATAAAGTAAGTGCAAAATAAAGCCTGGCCGAGTTCAGTAATTTATTGAAGAAATGTCTTACAGGCAGGTACAGGTAGGCAGACAGGCAGGCCGCAAGGCAAGCAGGCAGGAGGGAATGAGATGCAGGTGAGGAGGTGGAAGGGGGAAGTGGGATAACTGTAGGGCTTATAAGAGAAGTGAGAACAGGTGGGTGGGGCAGTCAGCTGGTGTGGAAAGGAAATTTGTCAAAGACCTGAGAGGGTACTATCCACCACATGTCTACACAGTCAGCAAGTACCTGAGGCTGGTACCCCACATTGCTAACAACCCCAACAGGATGAGAGAGGAGACAGCGCCCTGCAAAATCAGTTTATTACTATACGTGTGTACTACATCTAAGCTTTATTATCTGTTTATCTCACCAAAGTACATGAATCAGTTAATAATTGACAACCAGTCTCTGGACAATCTGCGAGAAAACCTCATGGTGCCGATAAAGGAAGACATCAGCATTGAATTACGCTCTGATTCATGTGTTTCCAACCTCGCTAAAGCTTCACCAGCATCAGAAATTCTAAGGACAATCAGCTGTACACCTCTTATAAAAAAAGACGAACTGCAAGACCAGATACAATTATCTTTAATCTCAACTGTGACCCAGAGGCAGCTGACAATGATTCCTTGGCAGAAGTACAAAAGTCTGACAACGGCATCCAAAGAGCTTTTGAAGCATTGAGGTGGGATGCACAAAAGGAATGTGTGCATTAGTTTTCCAAGATAGAATGGCTGAATGCCAAGCTCTAGCTGTCATGTACATTTGTAAGCACTTCACCTCAAAGAGAAGATTTTGACCTGAAGGCCAATGCACTTGGAAAATGGCCCGAGTAGTTCGGTAGAGCTTCAGATTTGGAAATAAAACAATTTAAAGATTTCTAATGCCACCTTTAGACATTTCTATTCAATGTTTTACTAATGTGCCACAATAAAAGAAGAAGAAGAAGATAGAAGATATACTTTAATGATCCCCTAGGGGAAATTGTTCTTTTCACTCTTTTTTATACACACACACACACACACACACACACACACACACACACACACACACACACAGAGGCTGAAATGCACACTTCATGCACTTGTGGACATACAAAGGGGAGAGAGACGGTGGAGTGATGGGGCTGCAATGTTACCGGTGCCCCATGAACAGGTTTTGGGGTTAGGTTGCCTTGCTCAAGGGCACCTCGGCAGTGCACAGGAGGTGAAACTAGCATCTCTAGCTACCAGTCCAAACTTCACATTTTGTGGTTTGTGGGACTTGAACCGGTTCCCAAGCCAAGTCCCTACACACTGAGCTACTTGAGTTAAATATCTTCATTTTGGGGCTAGCAACTTGGTGATGTCTGTGTATGGTCTGTGCTTGAACCAATTATATTCACCTTATATATGCTTCCTTTAGGCAACATTATTAGGAATCAGTCTACTCCCTCAACATTCATTGTTACGCAAACGATACCCAATTATAACTATCGATTAAGCCTGATGAAATTAAATAAAGAATAAAGTTTCAGATAAAAGAAAAAAACAATAGGCTTAAAAACAAAAGAGTAAGACAAATATCATCCATATCAATACGACTGTCTGGAATAGATCTACTCAGCCATGTCTTAGACCATAAATATCAGCAGTTGGGCCCCAGATTTGGCTGCACATTCCCAGATAACAACAACATAAGCGGAATGAGACATTTCCGCGAGTGTGTATAATGCAATGCAAGATTGGGATTTTCTTTGAATCAGTTCTCTTCATGAATACAGGCCAAATGTTTCTCAGATGAAACAGGCATTGAGGAGGAGGAGGCTTGAAAGATGTTTAAAGTCTGCTTGTTGTGAGATGAATTGCTGCTTCACAGAGCACTGTTTGCTTGTTTATTCAAAGTTTGTTAATAAAATAATGTGTTGCATGCTCTAGGCTCACCTCTGATGGGAATGGGAATCACCGCAAGCTGTAAGTAATTCTCTTCAAAATCAGCTGAAAACACAAAGAGACTTTTTTTAGACTTTTGATTATATTTCTACTTGTAAACCTTCTCTTATTTATGTTTAAACTAATCCTGATTTTATTTCTAACCTTAACATGATATGATAAGCATCGTAAATCATAATTTTGTTTCCCAGTATGAACTTACCTCTCCTTGTGTTTCCTGAGGAGGACAGCTTGAAGATTTTCTCCTCCTCAGGTGAGGCGTTGCTAAAGTTCTGGCTGATGTTCCCTCCATCGTCAGCAGAACTGGTCTTCTTCAGTTCAGAGAAGTCAGTGTGGCTGCTGGTGTCGCTCTCACTGAACCTCATCTTCTTTGAAGGCACCTCTTCCTTTTCACAGTTCACTGGGGTCGGTGGCGTTGGTGTCACACCTTCCCCTCTGTTGCCCTCCACTGACTGACTGTGGTCAGTGGGGTCAGTGAGGTCAACCCTCATCCTCTTGAATGTTGGGGTCAGTGGAGTGGGTGATGTCTGTCTTTGGTGATCTGGTTTTTCCACCGATCAGTCTTTAACTTTTTCAGGAACCCAGTAGCTATGACGTAAAATAAATGTCAAACAAGACTCTCTGAAGATATTCTGTTAACACCTGCAGATAACTGAAGAAGTGTGAAGTGATACAAAGTCAGTCTGTGTTCTCAGGTTGAACATGTCAGAATTTTAGAATATTTATAATATAATATTATTTATTTTATATTTTTAATTTTTTTCCCCATGTGTATATATATAGTTTGTGATACAGTCCAATGTGTTGTGTGTGATCTTCCATTACCACAGTAATGGTCAATCTCAGTTACCTGTCTCTGTGTGTTTCTGCTCAAAGAGCTGTTTGTTGTCACTGAGTTCATAAAGTCAGTGTGCAGTTTGAGAAGAATAAAAGTTGTTGCTGTAACCTGATCACTAATATACAATCCATTTCAGCTCAAATAATGGGTCAAAAAAGAACTGTTAAGGAAAGAAAAAAAAATACAAAAGGCCCCTTTAAGTTATAGCCTTGATGCCTTGGCATGTGGCCTTTGACCCCTTAAAAAATTGCCCCACTGCGGACCAAGTTGCAGTGAGCCTAATATTACGAACTCCCAGTCCTGGTTCTGGATGTGTTTCATGTTGTAATCTCTGTTTTTTGCTTACCCAGTCCCACTCTCTCATAGAGTTTCATAGAGAAATCTGTTTTAGCAAGATGATCACTACATCAGAGTCCTCACTGACTCCCAAGCAGCTGGAGAACTTCACCCAGGGCCTGAGGAGCACTTTTGGCAGGGAGGGCAAGGTCACTTTTGGTGGGGTGGGGGTAGTGGCCCTGTCCCTGGCTGTGCTGTTTGACACCCTTGCTAAACAGGCAAGAGGAGAGTGGGTGTCAGAGTCAGAGCCCATTCCAGGTTTATTTGCTATCCTATTAGTCATTTGTACGAAATTTGTCATAAGTAGCGCATGAATTCCTATGAAAAGTTATGGCCAAAAACCAGTCACAGTGACCTCTGACCACCAAAATCTTGTGCCAGATTTCAAGAAATACCCTCAAGGCGTTCTTAAGATATTGTGTTCACGAGAATAAGACAGACATGAGGGGACAGTAACCTTGAACATAACATAAAGATAAACATAAAAATAAAGGAAATGTAAGATAATTACGGTTGAGAGTTTGCATTGTTAAAACATATTTTGGTGATAGGATGAAGAAGAGACATAGGAAGCTAAAACTGGTCTGTGTATAAAGCTATAGTATTTAACACATTGAATTGTTTGTGTAAATCTATAAAGAATAACTTGAGGTTTTACAGGGAGCTAATCCATGAGGTTGCCAGGCAACCAGGGGAGATGCTGCACACAAATGATTAAAAACAATCTTCTTCATCAAAAAGTAGTTACACTATGGACCACACTCTAAAACCACAAACTGTTGTTTGTACATTTCTGTTGGGTATGGATTAAACATCACAATCATGTTTTACATTAAAAAAATAATCTGGTTTTAAATTACTGAGTTTTCATAGCTTGTTATAAGCTTGCTTATTAATAGTAATTTACTTAAGGCCCATTACAGTCTTTCAGTGGCTAGATTTTTATGCCAGTTTTAGGAATTCTAGAAAATGTGATTATATTTAAGAATATTTGGTTTGTTTCTAGAAGGGCTGTTTTTGCAGTGTATTTGTTGGATCATATGCCCCTGCCACTGTTAGGCAAGGTTCATTGACAACAACAGGGTTGTGCAAACATTGCACTTTGCTCTTTACCAGCAGGCTGGCCTGGTCAGAAGGCAAAAATTGCGACATGCACAAAAAACTGAAATGATGAAAGCCGAGTAAAAAACACTACTTATTGTAACTCATTGTGAACATGATTTGGAAAACACATAAGCACATAAGAGTACATTTCTCCTCCTATTGACTATAAAGCCCCTTTTTTCTTGTGAAATCATTGTGAGCATATGGTCACTTTCCTTTTTCCACACCTTTTCCTGTAATTGTCCGTCTGACCCCTACTTCAAAGAACGTTAAAATACTGCTCAGAATCGTGCCGTGGACACTTATGCATGTTTTGAAGAGTACATTTCCATGAAAGAATAAAAGTCCAGAATCAATCAACAGTGATGTGCAAGCATAATACAATGTTCACTATCTTAGCTTTGCATGTTATCATGCTAACATTTGCTAATTAACACTAAACATAAACTACTCTGAGGCTAATGGGAATGTCACTTTTGCAAGTATTTACTCATATTAAGTATTGGGCAAAAATATACAGTTATTCCTGAGGGGAGAATGAAAATATATGTCAGTGCAATCCATCTAATCATTTTCGAGACATCACTCAAAACAACAAATGTTAATGATGGTGCAATAGGAAAAGTCAGAGGTAAGTAATTAGGATACATCGTTTGGCACCATGAATGAATGAATGAATTTAGCAAAGTACAGCACATTATTTAAACTGTGATAAGTAGTCAAAAACCTCATAAGGCCTTATAAATGCACAGTATGTAATTTCTGCTGCTCGGGGAGTTCACATCAGATAGAGTGCATTCCTAATAACTGATAAATGATATGATCATATACACTTTATATAAATTTAACTTTATATACAAATATCTTTAAAAGCAATAAATTACATAAAATAAATTCATATAATGCATGTAAAGTATAAAGTAATAAAAACAATACTGTTAACTTGTGTAGTACTGTTGCACTACAGACTATTGTACAACATGTCTATGTATGGGTTTAAGTTTTCTTTTTTTGTTTTCATTAAAAATGTTACTATCTTTGCACCTTATCTGACATGTGCGTCTGCTGGAGGGAGTTTTCTTTTTTTTGCAACCTTCAGCCAGTTATTCAGTTTGTCAGTGTGCATGTCAATATGCTTTTGCAATACGGGGAACAGATTAAACAATGTGAGACACAGACTCAGACATGTACAGAGGGAATCAGGTGAATAATTAATTACAGATTTGACGTCATGACCCCAGTGTGACTTTATTAATGATGTCCACGGACGGCCTGTCAGACACACACAGGTACTGTTGTCCAGTTGACTCTTTTTTGCACAGATCAGTAATTCTCAAGATGGACTGCCCTAGTGACAACGCAGCCCCCCTGTCTACTGTTGCTCGAGACATCTGCCCTTTCCCAAACTACAACCCCAGTCCTCTTTTCGTCAACATGCTGTCCATCAACTCTTCAGCTCACCTGAGGAACCACTACACAGCAGTGCAGTCCTCACTTACTCCCAAGCAGCTGGAGGACTTCACCCAGGGCCTGAGGAGCACTTTTGGCAGGGAGGGCAAGGTCACTTTTGGTGGGGTGGGGGTAGTGGCCCTGTCCCTGGCTGTGCTGTTTGACACCCTTGCAAAACAGGCAAGAGGAGAGTGGGTGTCAGAGTCAGAGCCCATTCCAGGTTTATTTTACAAAGACCTGAGAGGGTACTACCCACCACATGTCTACACGGTCAGCAAGTACCTGAGGCTGGTACCCCACATTGCTAACAACCCCACCAGGATGAGAGAGGAGACAGCGAGGTAGGTACTGCACTGTGGATTTGTGTTCATGTGCCCTACAGAATCAGTTGACTATATGTACTATATGTCAGCTTGTGTGTGATTGTATTGTCTCTTCATGTCACCAAGGTACATCAAGCAGTTAACAATTGATGACCAGTCTCTGGACAATCTGGGAGAAAACCACACGGCACCGATAACGGAAGACATCACAATACTAAACTCAATTCTGGTAAAGTGGTTTACAAGCAGTCTGAAGCTTCATCTGCTCCGCATTAAAAACGCTACGGCCGATGAGTTGGTCATGTCTACTGGAAGACTACCAGCTGTCATTATCTTTAACCTGAACTGTAATGCAGAGGCAGCTGACAAAGAATTTTTGGCTGAAGTAAAGAAATCTGACAGCCACATCCAAGAAACTTTTAGAAGATATATGTCAAACATAGGAAAGACATATCTGCTCCAGGTTGCCGAACTAGAATGGGTAAATGCCATATTCGACCTCTCGTGTGCAATTGGAAATATGGATGATTTATTGATTGCCCAGAGACAGGATTTTGACCTGAAAGCCAATGCACTCAAAAATGGGCAGAATACACTGTAAAAAAAATCTGTGTATTTTACGGTAAAATACTGGCAGCTGTGGCTGTCAGAACTTTACCGTTAAAAATATGGTGACCATGTTTAAGACATTATGGTATGCTTTTAGGAACTGTAAATTTCAAGGTTGAAAATGGTTTAATTTACAGTAAATTACTATAAAAAAACAGATGTATCATAAACCTATTTACAATAAGTTGCTGTAAAAATAACAGCTATAATATTAAATATTACGGTAAACTACAGTAATTAATATAGTGACCTGAAGAAACACCTGTGACCATAATAATTTCATAATCAACCACTAAAAACTAATAAAAAATACTGATTTGTTTTTTCTAAAGGAGGAAATTAAAAAAATAAAAAACATTTCTTTACCTCTGAAGGAACTCAAGTGTGGAGCTCAGATCCACGGGATAATAGATATTGAGGCAGTAGTAGGTTCCAAACATCAAACAGATGGCATGAAGTTGGGGATGTGGTCATTCACAACCTTTCCATCTACACTCAACATGAACTGTCTTGAGGCATAGCAGGAGGTTCCTGCAAAGAACATACAGATGGAATAGCAGACCAGCCATTACCATCCAAAAGCTGTCTTACCAAACTTGCTAGGTTTTGAAGCAGCACTTTAAAACATGACAGTGCATTTCATGTAATACTTCCTAACCTTAGGCTCCTTCAGTGAAACTGATTATCAACACTTACCACATACAGTGATGCATGGTGTTACAGGCAAGCTTTCCACTTGTACTTCCTTTGCCAGACATGTTTGTTTAACATAGTGGAAGAGGTTCTCTTCTTTTTCATCGAAGTAGGACAGAAGGAGCACCATGTCCTTGACATCTTCTGAGCAGCCCTCCAACTGTCCTCTCAGAATTTCCAGCTTTGTGACAGCCTGAAGAACTCTTTTGTTCTTGTCTGCACAAATAGTTCTCATGAAGTCCAGAAGTCGTTTTCCCTTTTTTTCTACAGTTTTTAGCAGTGAAGTAAGTAGAACAAACTCACGTTTCTAAGAAAAAGATCACTGAAATTTTCAGATATGTCCAAATCGGCTTCCTCTGTGCCTGTCACTGGACCTGCATCATAGTGAGAGACAAAGTCACCTGACTCAGGTGGCGCAGATGATGACGGATGAGAAGCAGATTCTCTGTACACGTCACTCATACTGCTGTTGGTAAAACCTCCTTGCTTCCGGGACATATGCACGGTATATGAAGACTTGACCTGGAAGTCAACACAAACGTGCAAAAAAGACAGCGTTAAATTTAACCTGACTTTATATAGCAGACCTATGTATCGGTATTGACGTTATTACAAACCTTCAAGAAAGCTTTGTTTACTATCAGACTGAAACAAATTCTTAGACATGCAGACAACTCTTAAGAAGATCATTTTACTTAGATGCTCTTGAATCGCGTTGTGCCATCACGAACTGATCCCCACAGAAACAAAAAACCAACTGCCTGGCCGCGGAGAGCTGCCACTTGGTGAAATTACCACAACAAAGTTTGAATTCCATGACCCTGACAGTAGAAACTGTACTCTACTGCGCGTGTCTCTTTCTCCACTGCGCGTGTCACTGACTCTGTCACTGGTTGGCAAGCCTCACAGGTACAGCAGGTACTACCCCCCCTCCCCCCACCAGTCAACTGAGAGCAGAGTGCACACAATATTCTCCACATGCTCTTCAGTCACAGCAGGCCTGTTTTAAGGATTATAATGTTGAAAATAAAAGCAGCTTTACATTTATCACACAGTTGACTTCAAAATAAGACACCTAATGCGACATAACTCTTCCCAAGTACAGTTGATATTCAAAGAATTTCTATTCCGTCTGCTGAATTACATTTCCCATCTTTTCTTGACTCTACAATTATGGGTACATACCATGTCCATGGGTTGTATTTATCAATTTGACTAAATATTCATTTCAAGCAATGACCAATTTTATATTGGGTGATATTTCTTTCTTTTAGTACAGAAAGTTAACAAGTTCATTAATTTATTTAACAAATCATAAACTGGAATTTGCAGTTTTTGCGCTGTCCGATTTCATACATTTCAAGTTTGCTCTTCAAAATTAACCCTAGAAGACATGTTTGTGTATATTATTTTCAGCATTATTTGTTCAAAATAATCATTAAAACATGATAAAGGTGTTTTCTGAATCCTTAATAAACAAAATTATTCACTTTGTGTGTGTCCGAGAAATCTGTCAACTTTGTTACCCATTGATATAACCCCTATAAATCAGCAATGGTTTGTCCAAATTCAAATATGCAACAATGTGTGATGCCACACCCTTTTTGGCAGGAATTCTGTAGACAGTGCGGTAAGTTTCAACTCCTCATCTTCAATATTTCATCAAAATGATTGTCTGCATATGGAGTGGATTAATTGTTCATCAACTATGTTATCAACATTTTCTTGTGTATTTACCTTAGATTTTATAATCAACAAAATGTAAATGAAGTATATAGAAATATGAGTTGATCAAGGTCATATGATGACATGTTTATGGTTTGTAAGGCCTAAAATGGAGGAAATGTCAACTATGTTACCTGTCAACTATGTTACCCATCAAGTGTAACACAGTTGACAGGAAATAACACGGTTGACAATGTTGTCAGGGTTTACTGGGTTTATGCTTATTAAGTCTGTTGATTAAAAAACTTGATTAAATTGTTACTACACAGAAATTAAATTATTATAAAAATGTAATAAGGTAGTAATTACATTAATGCATGATTTGAGTGATACTTATCAGGGAAGAAATCAGCTGATCTGAAACCATTTACTATTGTTATTAAAATTACATACATGACTGGAAGTGTAATTACATAGTAATTAGGGTACATGTTGCAACCCAGTCTCATCTACCGGATCCTCTGTGCACTTAACTTCCTGTGTGGTGCAATCTCATTGATGGGTTTTGGCGCGTCATGGCCCCACGAAGAAGAAGAAAATTAGAAGAAGAAGAAGAAAGAAACGAGGGAATAGAAGCAGGAAAAGGTAAACAAGGAGGAAAAGGAAGCGTGGAAAAATAACTTGACCAAGCTAAACAAATGAATCACCTTGACCCCGACGATGCCATATTCCTGGTTGATGCGTTCCTGGATGAGAGCAAGGTAAATAACATTATCTCACTATTACTAATACTATTACTAATTACATGCTAATTACAAGGTCTAAGACCATAATAGACTCTGAGGTTTAGCAGGGAAGAAGAATCAAGGTGCATGTCTTTATTCAAATGCAAGCTATAGTGCTGAGCTGAGTTTACACGTTAGAGCCAGTGAGAGATTCATTCAATATTCTGTCAAAATGTTTCACTATCTTTTCTTTTTTTTTTATGTAGAAAGGGTTTTCTAGATCTGTCAGTACAGTACAGGACCACAACCATTAGACTGATTTCTTACAATGTAATATTCAATTCAATTCAATTCAGTTTTATTTGTATAGCGCCAATTCATAACAGAAGTTATCTCAGGACACTTTTCAAATAGAGTAGGTCTAGACCAAACTCTTTAACATTATTTACAGAGACCCAACAGTACCACCATGAGCAAGCACTTGGCGACAAGGGCAAGGAAAAACTGCCTGTTAAAAGGCAGAAACCTAGGACAGATTCTTCAAGGTGGGTGGTCGTCTGTCTCGACCAGTTGGGGTGAGAGAGAGAGAGAGAGAGAGACAGAGACAGACAGACAGACAGACAGACGCACAGCAACAACAGTAGCAACAACTAAACTAATAGTTATTAGTATATGAACATGACAACAGCAACAATGGGGGACAATGAGCAGTGACAACAGCAACAACAGTAATCGTAGCTATAATAATACTATAATAATACTTATAATAATAATAATAACAACACTAATATCTGATATTGGCAAGGGCAGTCAAGCAGGACCATGGCAGGAGGCTCCACCAGGATCCATGAGAACCTGCGAGACGAGAAAGCACCACAACTCCGGGGAAGAAGTGAAGTTAGTAACATGCATTAATGGAACATGAATGAGTGCAGAAAGAGAGAGGAAGGGAGGAGCTCAGTGCACCATGGGAAATCCCCTGATAGTCTAGGCCTATAGCAGCATAACTAAGGGATGGTTCAGGACTCACCTGATCCCTAACATAGCCCTAACTAGAAGCTTTATCAAAGAGGAATGTCTTAAGCCTACTCTTAAATGTGGTATTAATTAATTATAACATTGGTTTTATAATGAGATGTTTGTAGGTGGCAATAACCTTGGTGGGTGGTGGTTTATTCTGTGGCTCAATTATTTATTTAGGTGGATCAGCATGGACACACAAAAGGAGGGTCAAAAAAATCCACAAAGCCACGTGTTTGGCTTGATGAGGACAAAGATGGTCAACCTCTGCCAAAAAGATGTAGAGCTGGGGAGAAACGAAAGCGAGATTCAGCCACTGGTTGGTTTTTTGTTTGTTTTTTCATCAGTAGTTGCATTCATTATTCACTGAGCAAGTTCTAAATGGACATTCATATTTTTGCAGTTTCTTCAGCAAGCGTAACACCCTCCTGTGCTCCGTCTACCGACACAACTGGAGAAACTGTGACCATCGAAAATTTAGTTTGTTTGTTTTTTCCTTTTTTTCCCCTTAATACTTGTTTCCTCATTTGTTATGTGGTAATTACCCAGATTTACCATTGCCTTCTTCCCTTTTCATTTTCAGACTCCCTCATTCAAGATGTCCAAGACCCCTTGGGAAGTGGTGCTGAACAACCTCTCCCCTCACACTGGAGGAACAAGCAAATTGGACAGTGATGAGGCCCTTCATGGTGAAAAATATGTTGTCATCTGAGAAGCCCAAGGAGGGGGTTTGCCATCATTGTGGACCCAAGGCTGCAGTAGTGATGTGTAGGGACTGTTTACCGCGATCACTCTACTGCACAGCCTGTGACCTTTCCACACATGAGGCCCTGGTGCTTCATAACAGAGTATCCACGGTGGAGGGGTTCTTCAGACACCTACCGCCATCCACTTTTGTTCAGCAGCATGAGCGAGGGAAATTCTCCTATCATGAAAATGGTAGTTTTTAAGTCTCAGGTTATATAGGCTGTTTTACATTTTACACAAACCCTGGTTTACTCCAACAAACATGCTGGATGAAGTTTTGGTTTCATGTACTCTAATATGTAAACTAATTCTGCTTTTTAGATTGCATGTTACCAATTGTTCCTCCCTGCTGCGACTGCTCCACTGGGCAAACACGCTTTTCCAAGGGAAAGCCAGTTATTTTAATTGGAATGAATGGTAACATTTTTTTTTGTTGTTTTTTGTTTCTTGTGAACAAGAAAAAAAAAAATTATTGTTTTTCTCTGAAATTTCAGGAAGATACAACCTCTTCCTTCCATCAGTAAACTGCTCCTGTGGAAAAACCTTGCCAGTGACCATAAGTGATCTGGTTGAAAGTGGTTATTGGCCAGCCACTGTCAATTTTGAGACCTTGTACATAGTCGACTTGTTCACCACATATGAGGATCTAAAAATCACTGCCCCAGGGATGTCGCGACAAGCTTTTGTCAGCATGCTCGAGTGTCGAACAAAACTCTTCGTGCGAGTGAGTGGATTCATCATTTAAGTTATCTTGTTTGGATCACCTTTTAAATAACTGATTCATTATTAGGACTTGTTCTTACAATCCCCAAAGTTTCACCACACATTTCTTCACAGAGCCCTTTTTTCGTCATGACCACGGTCTGAAGCCAACCTTCGACACATCGTCAGTTGTGTACTAACTGCACGGTTACTTACTGTTTTGTTTTTTCACTTTTGCTCTCAGAGTGGTAAGATATGTGGGGACACAATGCAGAGGGCCTTCCTCGAATGGGCCTATGCCAAATTTGAGGTTGACAAGCTGTCTGAGGTTCAGCATTTTCAGTGCCCTACACGCACACCCTCCATGTCCATTCAGCCCACCACCAGTCCTACGATCCAGCCCACCATCCAGTCCACCACCAGTCCTCCCATCCTACCCATCACAGAACCACCTCAGCAGAAACGCGGTAAGTTCTGCTGATATTTTCAAATAGCATATAAATCATGATTAGGGTTGGGTATCGGTTGGGTTTTATCCGATACCAGTGCCTACTCGGTATTTTTAAACGGTTCCAGTGCTTAAACGGTCCTCGAACCGGTACTTAAAAAAACGAAACCACACTCACTTTGTCAACAATACCTTTTTATTTCCAGGGCCAAATTGAACACAATATTATGAGTTTCATATTAAGCAGAAAGTCAGCGGACACTGAGTGGACACGCTATTGAATGGCAACAGTGTTTGCTAGCATATTTGACATGCATGATTTGTGGTTGGCATTAAATTACTAGACTTACCCGAAGAGGAAAGGCTGCTGTCATCCTCATCATCTGTGATGTCCACCACCACACTGGCAGGGCTGGGAGTCTCTTCAATTTGTCCGGCGAGGCCGACAGTGGCTGCTGCGGCTGCTGAAGTGCTTGGCCTTGCGTCACGTAGGTTATCAAACACGGTGCATTGTTCGGCTTTTAAATAAACTCCATGTGTCGCCAGATGTTTCATCAAATTCGACGTGTTACCTCCCTTGCATGCAATTGTTTTATGGCATCTGTTGCATGTCACAGAGTCTGCATTCTTAGACATGAAATGCAGCCAAACCTTGGAGCGTTTTGCCTTCGGCATCTTCATTGATCCTCTCACTATCAGTTCTGATCAACAAGTGTGCTGAGTAGTGGCACTGACGTCACGCAAGTTGACACCGAAACACCAGGGGTCAGTAAAAAAAAAAGTCAGGCACAGAAATGAGGCACTGAAATGTTCGTTCTTATTCAGTCTGGTTACTACCGTTTATGTCCGAACCGGTGCCCTATTGGTACCGCGTTTCAGTACCCAACTCTAATCATGATTCAATTACCAGTCATGTTTCTTTTTCATATGTTGTTTAATCATGGTATACATGATAACCATGTTAAACATTTAATCTGTCTCTCCTGCTTAAACTGAAATAATACTCTAAATGAAGAAATGTATTTAAATTTGGGAAAAAAAATAAAAATGACTGATTAGTGTGAGGTGACTTCTGAGGTGTTATACCAGTAACTACTGTTATATGTAGGTCTGGATAACCTTTCAAATATTACTAAAGGGAAATATAACGTTTCAAAATTCTGACAGGATGATTGACAGATGCTA